CACACACACGCACGCACACACACAGACAGACACACACACGCACACACACTCACACACACGCGCACACACTCACAGACAGACACACACACACACAGACACACACACGCACACACGCACGCACACTCTTGCTCACACACACAACACTCACTCACTCACTCACACTCACACTCACACTCACAGACAGACACACACACTCACTCACACACACAACACTCACTCACTCACTCACACTCACAGACAGACACACACATGCTCACACACACTCACTCACTCACACACACACACACACTCACTCACTCACACACACACACACACTCACTCACTCACACACACACACACACTCACTCACTCACACACACAACACTCACTCACACACACACTCACACACACACACACACACACACACACGCACGCACACAACACTCACTCACTCACACTCACAGACAGACACACACATGCTCACACACACTCACTCACTCACACACACAACACTCACTCACACACACAACACTCACTCTCACAGACAGACACACACACACGCACGCACACTCACACAACACTCACTCACTCACACTCAGACACACACACATGCTCACACACACTCACTCACTCACACACACACAACACTCACACACTCACTCACTTACTCACACACACACTCACACACACACACACAGACAGACAGACAGACAGACACTCACTCACCTCACTCTCACACACACACAACACTCACTCACTCACAGACAGACACACACACATGCTCACACACACTCACTCACTCACACACACAACACTCACTCACTCACACACACACTCACACTCACAGACAGACACACACACACTCACACTCACACTCACACACACAACACTCACACTCACTCGCACACACACTCACACACACTCACTCACTCACACACACACACAACACACACGCACGCACGCACACTCACACACACTCACTCACTCACTCACTCACACACACACACCACACACACGCACGCACGCACACTCACACACACTCACTCACTCACTCACTCACTCACTCACTCACTCACTCACTCACTCACTCACTCACTCACTCACTCACTCACTCACTCACTCACTCACTCACTCACTCACTCACTCACTCACTCACTCACTCACTCACTCACTCACTCACTCACTCACTCACTCACTCACTCACTCACTCACTCACTCACTCACTCACTCACTCACTCACTCACTCACTCACTCACACACACACACACACTCACACTCACAGACAGACACGCACACGCACACTCACTCACACACAACACTCACTCACTTACTCACACGCACACTCACACACACACACACAGACAGACACCCACTCACTCACTCACTCACACACGCGCGCGCAGTGACGTCACGGCGCAGGAGTTACAGTGTATCTCTCCAGTGAGTTCAGCTCTTCTTCCGGATACAATGTAACGCTTTAACACCCAGAAAAAGCCAGACTCACCTGTAATAATACACATCACTCTTCCCAGCGCTCAGCCCGGACTTCCGGATCACTTCTTCCTTCTTCCAGCCGGGTGGAAGCGCCGGACAGTCCGTCTTCTTCCTCTCCATGATCATTGGCTGATCGATCAGCTCGATCGGAAGTGTTAATATCCGAGCCCTGAGATGCGGACGTGTGAGTGACGCTCGCTAACGGACTGCTGCTGGAGTGGTTAGTTAGCTGCTGAGTTATCAAGTAGAGGACTAGTTCTCGGCTTAAAGCGCCGCCGTTAAACGCGTCGTTCCCTCGAGCTCGTCGGCGATCAGAATCTGCGTGTGATCCGTGCGTAACGCGGCTGTGACGCGTTGAAATTTCAGCACTTCCCACACAAGTGACCCAGCGCCTGGCAACCGCAGGCCCCGCCCCCCGTGACAGACAGCCGCAGGCCCCGCCCCTACTGTAATCCTGCTCTTTCCTCACACACTGTACTAAAAATGTCAGTCAGTGAAAACAAGACACACAGACACATTTGTGACCCACAAAACCAATCATAAGGGTCAGTTTTTTTAAATTGAGATTTATGCATCAGCTGAAAGCTGAATAAATAATCTTTCCATTGATGTATGGTTTGTTAGGATCGGACAATATTTGAAAATCTGGAATCTGAGGGTGCAAAAAAATCTAAATATTGAGAAAATCATCTTTAAAGTTGTTCAAATGAAGTTCTTAGCAATGCATATTACTAATCAAACATTAAGTTTTGATATATTTACGGTAGGAAGTTTACTAAATATCTTCATGGAACATGATCTTTACTTAATATCCTAATGATTTTTGGCATTAAAAGAGAAATGTATAATTGTGACCCATACAATGTATTGTTGGCTATTGCTACAAATATCCCCCAGCGACTTAACACTGCTTTTGTGCTGCAGGGACACATATTAATCAAAGTCTGTAAAGTCTGAAACGATAACAATACAATCTAGTGTTGAGAATGAAGTCCAAAAACTACTGCAGCACTTTGTTGGTGTGAAACATGGTTGAGAAAAGCTGTAGATCCTCTAAAATCACTAAAACAGCGACAACACAGGACAAAAATGATGGAAGTTAGTTCTGAGAATTTTATTTTAAAGGGCTAGTTCACCCAAAAATGAAAATAAGCCCATAAATTACCCTCAAGGCATCCTAGGTGTATATGACTTTCTTCTTTCAGACGAATCCAGTCGGAGTTATATTAAAAATGGTCTTTGATCTTTCAAGCTGTTTAATGGCACTCAGCGGGTGTTGCATGCATCAGTCCTAAAGAAGTTAAATAAAAAGCGCCCATGCACAAAAAAAGTGTCTCACACGGCTCCGGGGGGTGAACAAAGGCCTTCTGTAGCGAATCAATGCGCTTTTGTCAGAAAAATATCCATATTCAAAACGTAATAATCACTTTAATCTATCTTGCGGCAGCAGTTGTACACGGAAGCAGCTCCGGCGGATGACGTGTGAGGTCAGCGCTGCGCATGCGCCGCTCAAAAGTGATGAACACAGAAACACAGCGGAGAGATCAAAACAAAACAATGGTCACTAATTAGAAGT